TTTTCTTAATTTCCTCCTCAACTGGCAGCTGACTTGTTCTTGTCCAGCGTAGGTTATTGCTAGTAGTCTAGCCAATGTGTCTGGAGTACCTTGAGTCGCAACTAGTTATGAATGCCTGATGACGGTGCTGGTAGTCTTTCAAGTTTCAACCCAACACAATAGAACTGTTTTAATGTTTGCGTTGAGAATCCCGAGTTTGGTGTTGAGTAACAGTTCTTTTGTATGAATATCGTCTTCGCTTGGCAATTCGTGCCTTCACATTTGCACCAAGTCCTTCATGTTTATCGATGATGCTGTCCAGGTGGGCACCCAAACGCTTCCATCTCTGTCAGAGCTTTGCCACCGAATGGGCCTTGTTTGATGCTCACTATTGTATTTCAGAGTCTTGCTTCCTCACTTGTGAATTTTAATGTCTTTCTGCGTAGGTTGCTGCAACACTGATAAACCGCGTGCATTTATCGTTGTGCATGTGGTAACATGGCTAAATGATCTTCAAAGTCCAAATCGTCCAGCTGCATCCAAAGTATCTTACTGTATTCCATCCTCTTCACGAGAACCGGAGGTCCTCATAATGCAGCCAACAACCAGAAGAAAGGTATGAGACGGGAGTAAGCACTTGGAATGGATGTGTGAGATTTCCTGCATGCAAGACTGCGATTTGGCCCTTCGTAGGAGCTCTGCATGATGGTGACGACTCAGGTACTCCGTAATGTCGAAGAAGGTTCCACAGGGTCCTCCTATCCGTGCTGTTGAATGCTTCCTCGTAGTCAGGGAAGTTGATGTATGGTGACGAGCTTCATTTAAGTGATTGTTCAACAGTGATCCGCAGTGTCGCTACATGGGTGTCTAGAGAATCTCTCATTTAGGCCGATAACAGCCTGTCAAGAACTGTGCCTAGTACTAACGGAAGTGTAATTTTTCTGTCGTTTTCAGACTTTTTATTTATTATTAAAATAAACCAACTTCTTTATCGTTAAGCTAATTTCTAACAGGATTTCCCAGTGCAACATCTTGGACCATAAAAAGGAAGCGTTCTGAAGCCAAAGCATGATCACATTTTAGATGTGTCCAAGAAGGAGCGGCAGTCTCCTACTGAACGATATCTGATGGAATTTACTTATTTACTTCCTTGAGCTAATGTCGGACTCGCTGTGTCAGGCAATGTTGCTTCTCAATGCCTTAGTTGGTTCTTACTAAAAATTAATGGTCGTCTATGTACAAGTGCACCACGCGATCTCCATTATCTGTGCTGGTGTCCACCAGTGTCTTTATCTAGGGTTTGCTTTCCTACTTGGATGCTTAGATCACTATCAACGAGTGTCTAGCTTTTTAAAAAGATCAAGCTCCCTGTAAATTGGTCTAATCAGTTAATCAAAACTGCAGTGAATAAAAGCGTAGACGAAAACTACGCGTAACCTGACGTCTCGCTTACATTTGATTGGACACTTAATATAAGACTGTTGAGGTGAATTTATTTTGTCGGAGTTTGTTCTACTTTCCAAATTCTTTTTCTTACGTCATGAAAACGCAGGAAGCTTTCAAATAACCAGATATTTGAATGGTAGATCGCACTGGTCTTCCAAGGTGATTAGATAAGACCACTTGGATCCTCCATGATTTTCAGAAACAGTATTTGTCACTGACACGATAATTTAGAGCCTTACCTAATGAAGCCTCTGTGTGATTGACACTAAAAGTTTCGATACCTAGTTTAGAGCTTGATTTAGAAGACCAGGAAAGGACTTCGTGAATACACGAAGTCAGCGTTGTTGGGACATATAGGAAAAATTTGTATCCAGAAGAGACGTTAACGGCATTGATAGGATACATTTTTAGGAATGGAGGATGGATATTATCGTTAACTAGGTGAGTGTGAGTAGTTATGACTTCACGGTCACCCACACTTTAAAAGAAGTCTTTCTTAAGAAATTCATATAGCAAAATAGGTTAGAAGTGGTGTTGTCGACATTTAAGGCACAGAAGCTAGCCCCAAGTAACAACTCCCTAAGACAGGGACACGGGATTTTTGTAAGTTATGGGTGTACTAACTCTGTACTTTTCTGATCATCGGCACTGTAAATCTGTGTCAAGGTGAAATGTACTGTTTTTAGGACTGACTATTTCTGGCCGTTCCATCCAGGCAACACAATGTTGTCAGAGTAGCTGCTTATTCGTTAAATACCCTTCACTCCACAGCCCAATTCAATCGCTTGCGCGACGATACTCATAGACTTCATTGCTATTTAACCAACCTGCTTGGTATAACAGAACATCAGAAATAAGTGTCTCAGCCAATAAAGCCCTTCTGGGTCATTACGGTAAAGTAGTGATACGGTAAGTAGCCACGGTCAGAAATTTTTTTACGTATTACTGGTTTAATTTGGTTTTAAATGTTCTGTAGGTATCCAATCTTCAAGCTAAGACTGATAACAAAAATTGAAATCAAGATTTATCAGTCTTGTTGTTAATCTTACTTTGTTTTAATTTTTCACTAGACAGTGAAGTACTTGATGACTTTCCCTTTAACGAAGAAAGAAATAAGCGTGAAGGAGGCGTGCACAATCGTAATTTTAGCGTTTCACCGTGGCCGAATAACGAACATTTCCAGGTTAACTTTCGCAGATATACAAGTTTGTCTGATTGTAATCTAGACCATATCAGTTCGGAATCTCCGTCAACTTCCCTACGTAATCAGGTCAAGTCAGTTAGTCTAGATTTTGGTGAGTCATTGCTCCATACAAACGAATCTCAGTTGATTGCACAATGTCCACCCATGAAGACATGTCAAGCGTGTCAACAGTTGATTCATCGAAACGCTCCAATATGCCCACTATGTAAAACTAAAAGCAGATCAAGGAATCCAAAAAAACCAAAATCACGTCCAGTTATTCAGGTTACAGATATGCCAAATTCAGCAACAGGCGTCTCTTTGGCGTTGGGTCTGCTAAGTGATCACCATGAGTAAAAATATCAATACACCATTCGGTTAACTGTTTATCTTACTTAGCGGTTTTACTTTTGAAATTTCGATTTATACGTGTAATAGGTATCATGATCTTTACCAATACGACGTTCATGGTGACTTTAAACAGCTATATATATATATATATATATATATATATATATATATATAACTGCTTTCTGTGCATTTTAAATGTTAATCCACCAAAAACAAAATTGCTTCGTTTATACTTTAAAAGCTTTATAATCATGTGTCCAGAAAATTCATACTTATAACCCTCTGCAACTAGTATGTGCGACCTCTAATTTTAATTAAAGATACCGTGACAAGGTTTTAAACAGGTATCAGTCCATTATGTTTTCCTATATGGGATAACCTAGGTGACTACCTCCTTGGGATCAAAAGCACCACACAATTGTTCAGCGATTCAAGCACTCGGACATCGAAAGTCAGCTTAAAACGCATTCCACTTAATAATTTAGTAGTATCTTTAGCCTTCATACTCTGGCTTTTAATTAGTCATTAATCTCAACACATAGTAATCTGCTAACGACAAGATAATTATTTTGGGACAGTTGCTTCATCGGTTCTCACTATAGTGCATCAGTTTATGTGGTCATATTTTACGAGTACACAGAAAAACAAAAAAATACCCACATTTGTATCAGTGGATCGCCACCACGCAGTTAATGCTTTAAAAACAAACAAACAAAGTACTGAAACCCTTTAGGCTTTTCATATTTTCTTTAGGAGTTAGCACAACTTGCAGTTACGGGACTTCATTTATCAACCTATCATACGACCAAGCTAGCTTTTAAGAAGTATCTGGTATCTATTAGATATGAGAACCAACCTACGGATCCTAAGACGTTGACCTAGACACCTAAATTTTACGTGCCTACTACTAACTGATTGAGTTTTTAGACTGATTAGTTCTAGAAAGGTATGTGGAATCACACATTACTTCGTCGAATACACTTCGGATGATAACTACAACACTAACTCATACCTGAGATATAAGTTCATGTTTCAGTTCAAGAAGGGCGTTTCTTGTCTCAGCGTGGTCAGCACGTTTGAAATGGAGGATGCCATTCGCTATTCTTCAGTCCCAGTGAGGTGAACCCTATGGTTTGGAAGAGTAGTAGTCAAAACAATTATTTATTAGGGGCATCATATGTAAAAACCTGGTAGGTTATTGGTTCACACTAGTCCTGTTACCTTAGTTTAATGGTTGTCTTAACTAATAATTCCTGACTATTACTCCTTGGGTGTTGATCATTTTAATTAGGGTTTAGTAATCTCACAATTGCAATTTATCAATTGTTCAAAGATCAAACAGAATGTCTTGATATTTTTCTCCAATCTAGAGCTAGGTGTAGTCATAGTTTAAGCATCAAGGGTGGTTTAACAAATCGTTAAGTTCACTCCTCGCCTTGACTTAGCCAATTAATGTCCTTTTGAAGTGACGATGTAACCGGGACTGCCCATTTGGTTTCTAAAACCAGGGTTTGAACATTTTAGTTGTTTGTGACATCAAATTCAAATAGATGAGTATGCAGGTGGGGAAAGTAGATATCTTCCCAGCCCTTTAAATAGGACAGAAGTGACTAACAACTAGGACTAGGAACATGTCTTGACTTTAAAATTAATGCTATTTCGATACCCACAACTTTACGTGGTCGGAAGAGTCAGTTGCACCAACTGGCTTAATTGGTTGCATGAGATAAGGTAAGTTAACATAAAGAAACATTTAGCCCAACTTGTTAGTACCGACTAATTCAACATGGGGTTGTGACGTTGGATTCTGTAATCTCCAACCATTTGGAGCGAGAAAAAATAAAAGTACAAATCCAGGTAACGGAAAGGCTAACGGCTTAATTTTGGTTCCATTAATTTAGAAAATTAACGAGTTAATAGTAGGGATAAGAAATCCGCTTTTTTATTTAGTATCACCAAAACAGTTTTACGATTTCAACATATTTTGACTCCTATGAATCTTATACATGGAGTTAATATAATTGTTCTCTTTGGTTCATCTTCACATCGGTTGGGTTTGAATGTGCATACTTGTGCCGTCTATTTTGACTTGACTAGGGTCATACGGAGTTCCTCGAAAAGGTGAACCCTCTTTGTTCCAAGCATTGGCGAGTATGTTTTTCATTTTCTGAAATAATTAGAAAAGAAAATGATATGTTCAGGATTTATATTTGCATATATACCGATTTAATATTTGTTAAGATTTCTTATGACTTCCAATACTTAAGACAGGGAAATTCGTAATTTTAATAGAGGTATTACTAAAGACCATTCACTAAGCTTTTAACATCTGGGATCCTTACAGCCACCAAACAATCTTGATAAGGTAGCATATACGAAGAATGATTGTTTAATCTCCAATAATTTACAAGTTCTGGATGGCCTAACGGTGCATCTAAGTAGCGATGAGCTCAATATAGTTCCTACAATTTTGATCTCATAAATATTTACAAAGCAATGTAAATGGATGAACAGCAGATGCTAATAGAGTCAACACTTACTTCTTGTTCGCTAGTAAGTAGTCCTTGACGTTTGCGCTGTTCATCGTACATTAACTGTTGGATCTTAGCCTGCGCCTCATCGTCTAGTTCGTGCATAGGCCGAGAGCAGTCAATTTTCCGTGTGTTTAGTTTGTCTTCTCCATCAAAAGCAGCTTCCCACCACCGTTCCTGAACCTTGTCAAGACACAGCTGGATCTTGATTGAAAAAATAATAACTTGAGCAAACATTCGTTACAGCAGTTATATCACGTAATATTAAAATGATTGAATAAAGGGTTTGAATGATACTCAGAATTAAACATAAACAATAACCATATCCTTGACTCAGGGGAGTACAAACCAAATATTCATTTACAACAGACCCCCCATCATCATCAAGTACCTATGCTCATCGTCCACACTGCCCACTTAGTCGTTCCACGAAATGTGAGCAATGCTTCGAGGACACCTATGATTAAAAACCTTTAGTCTACGCATCTCTTCTGGGATCAACGATCATTTCTCACATGCCCTTGGTTAGCAGATAGATATCTCACCTACACAACACGTGATGAAAGTTGCCAAAGGCCAACCGAACTTCCTGGGTTCGTGTCGAGATCTCATGAGACGCCAACCCACCGAACTGATAAGACTTCCAAAAGTGGTCGACACGCTCAACTACTTCACTCCCTACCAATAGTTCAAGCGGTGACACAGACCAGTCTTGAAGCAACATTTCTCACATGTTTGCACTGTTGATAGAAGCGGTCAGAAGAGTGAATTTTATCACCACCTTTACTAAACAGGACTATCACTCGAGTATTGTAAGTCAACTAGTGGATATCCTGGGAAGAGATCAACTCCTGAGAAGTTAGATGAAGAGTGTTATTCCTAGGAGGACATCTATGACGACATTAGAAAAATAATAGTCCCGTCCTTTAATAGGATGGTGTCATCAACACTTACCTTTTAATACCCACTTCGTTGATAAGTATGAACAATTGTCTGCTATAACTTATCGTTGTTGCCCTCTCCATCTCTTTTTCGTTTTTCATCGCTCCCCACGACCATTAGGTAAACATTTTGTTGGTTCATGTTTTAGTTATAGTTGCTTATTATCATTCTCAAAGCTTGTCGGGATGATTTTTTGGGCTTTTATCAACTCAGTAGATGCCATCGAGATCCACTGGGTTTTCCTAACTTTTTGATTTCAGTAATTGATAGATGCAACGGTTGTATTTGCGGCTGCTTGGATATTTTTCCAAGCTTTTTTAAGATGAACTATTTCTCTACATCCGACTAGGTCCTTAGCTAATTTTCCTCTGAATGCGTCGTTGATCTTTTCATCTTCAAATCGACACCTAAGGAATCTTCTTACTGTGACTTCTCTCTGTTTAGTGAAATGCATTACTTACTTACACCTGTTACTCCCGATGGAGCATAGGCCGCCGACCAGCATTCTCCAACCCACTCTGTCCTGGGCCTTTTTTTCCAGTTCTATCCAATTTTTGTTCATATTTCTCATGTCTGTCTCCATTTCTCGGCATAATGTGTTTCTTGGTCTTACTCTTCTCCTTTGGCTTTCAGTATTCCATGTGAGGGCTTGCATCGTGACGCAGTTGGATGCTTTCCTCAATGTGTGTCCTATCCACTTCCAGCGCTTCTTCCTGATTTCTTCCTCCGCTGGGATATGGTTTGTTCTCTCCCACAGTACATTGTTGCTGATAGTGTCTGGCCAATGGATCTGAAGTATTTTGCGTAGACAACTGTTGATAAACACCTGTATCTTGTGGATGATGGCTTTCGTAGTTCTCCAGGTTCCCGCCCCATACAGTAGAACTGTCTTGACATTTGTATTGAAAGTTCTGACCTTGGTGTTGGTTGACATTTGTTTTGAGTTCCAGATGTTCTTCAGTTGACACCTAAGTAATTTTCTTGCTGTGACTTCCATACGTTTAGTGAAATGCATAGATGCGTATATTTACTGCGGCATGATCATAATCCATGTGTGTACTTTAGTAATAGCAGCAGTTTTCAATCGAGCCTCTCTAACGATGCGTGATGGGGATAAATCCGCTCGTGTTCAACACTGTGTTTGTGTTGGGGGTTCCCAGTTTGAACAGTGTCTGTCCTTATGTCTCAAGTTTTTACCTGCTAGGAATGATCGGTTTTCTGAGAAAAATTGTAGCAGGTAGTTACTGTTATCTGTCCGTCGTGTAGACTGTGGTTGCTACCTCGACGTGGTGGTCTAGTTTGAATATCATATTGGCCTAATCGAGGTATATCAGCTGGGACAATTGTTCCTTTATGTCCTATCATGACAGACAGGTCGGTTGGAGCACGGTAAGACTAAAAGCAGTAAGCTCGTGGTTCGAGGGCGAAGTCGTACTGTTAACTGTACAGGTGTGGTGACAGCAAGATGTTTTCCTCAGATAACCGGCATCTACAGCGACAATATGCCCTCACGACGAAATGAGGGGGTTGGGAAAGCTTGACCCTAAAAATGCCACACTACCCCACGAGTGACCGTCTCTGACGATAGGGACTTCCGAAATGCCTCGAACAGTGGTCCCTTGGGTCACACTTTCAGGTTGCTGAGACTACTACTAACCCAGTTCCCCTTTCGGGTCGGTCAGTCAGTCCGCTACAACGTGAGACTAGGCACATTTATACATCAGTTCAAGGTGTCATACCTCGTTAGCACAACAAGATGAACACCAAATTCACAGAAGTAGTAACTTCGATAGTGATAATATATAAAAGAAAGATTGTGTATAAGAATATGATACAGGAAGGAAGGGTGAGTTCGTAGAAAGAAAGGTACAGAGTAATTTTATTCTCACGGTTTAAGAGAAGTCGGTTTCAGATTAATTCAATTTATATTTGTTACTTTATAACCGAGTGATTATGACACTTGAGTTATAATTGCTTTTAGTGTGTCTTAGTTAACGATATGGTTTGGTAACATACTTCAGAGGGAAAGTAGCAGTCAGCACCTAGGTTTTAGGAAGACAGTATGTTTTGTTTAACATATTAACTACGTGAGTTTAAATAGTTTATTTTTACGTGAAACAATGGAGACTAGAAGCAACCAAAACATGGACTAACTGACTAGGTTATGGACTCGCGTTTAATCTAATTAAATAAAACATGATTGATAATAACCTGCAGGTTGGAGGTTCTATATTGCCATTACGATTCATTTTGATAACTAAAATGTGATTTTTATTATTAAATTTGTGGTAGTTCTTGCATTGGCTTAATTTACTGACTAACGCGCTAACATCTATATACTAGTACAAAAATACTCGTACACCAAATGTGATAGTTTTTCGGTACGAGGTATATGGCACCAGCAAATGTATCAATACATGTGGGAGTTATGGGGTCATTTTGATAGATTCATTTTAGCATTATTGCGAACATAAAAACAAGATGTATAAGCTATGGACTGATGACTGACTTGATTTTCTTTGGAGTGGAAGGTCCAGATAGCATCATTCTTGTGAATCTCCCAACACAAATCCCCATCGAAACAAAAAATTTCTTTCTTTTCTTTTTGAATTGAAACACGAATATGTTTGCGTTCAATATTAACAGAAATATTGCGAGCATCCACGTTTTCTGGTATCTGTATGCGATAAAGTTATTTAAATTAAGAGCATAAAAACCTTTATTTTAATATCAATGTCCTTGATAGTCTGGCTCCATGTGTATTTATCTCTATTGGCTCCGTTGTAGCAATCGGGATCTGCCTGATAAACTTTAAATTCATCATTTCTAGTTATTGGAAGTAAACTCTATTTACAAACACATACTCTTCACTTTTCGATGTTAAGTTTGTAACGCTTGATGGACACCCAGATACTTTTTTATCACCGTTTGAAGGTAAGTCAGTGGTATTTGGCTGTTTTGGTTCTTCTTTGGTGACTGATTCTACAATTTCTTAAGTGAACCGGGAAAGGGACTTACTGGTTGGTTGGTTGGTGTCTACTTGACGATGACGCTGGTAACCCTCAAATATTGTTTTATATTTCTCGTAAGCCTGGAAAATATTTTGATATTACAACACACCTTAAGAATCATTTCGATGCTCACACCAGGTGGGAAACCTATTTTTTTTTGTTCTGGTGTCATAATATAGAAAAAGTCGGTCCTGAAGACAATTAAAATCCTGTGTTACAATAGATACCTGCGCATTAAGAACCCGAATATCACATCTAAAAACTTCTCTAACTTCCCTTCGTTTGGAGAATACCCAGTAGCGCGTTATCATATTGAATATTGACGTTAGTCATTTTAGACGTAACGGGCTATAAGGGAAATAAATATTACTAAGATGTGTCGTCAGATAAATTTTCTTTTAGAAAACCAATTTACGCGGATGTAGACGAGAACATATCTATGACAAAGGTGAACAAAAATGAGGATATTAGGCAACTATTATGAACATTGCAGTAGGAGAATAGCATGAGCAGTTCGTTGCATAGGTACGCAGAACAGTTCCAAATTCGATTTGTAAATTGCAGCATCTAATACGTCTAAATTTATAGCTAGACTAATGGCCAACAATGAACATCTTAAATGTAAAGTAGAAAATAAGCCATAGCATGAACTATCTCAGTTTACAAAAACCAATCGTTACAAGGGTGTACAAAGAGTGCATACACCGACGCCATTGTGATCGATTCTGAGCCATGTCACTCAAAGTCTCCAACCAATTAGTCTGCATCTACCAACATGTCTCAGACTAGAAGTTAGTGACTTCAAGGACTGATGCGACGTTTTGGTTTGGCCGCCCCTAACTTTCTTCCAACCGTCTCCAACACTAGTCAGCATTGCGCGCCGTGGTAGTGTGTGGTTGTGTATGAGTAACACGTGACCCAACCATCAGTCGATGAAGATCCACAACCTCGTCAACTGATTTACCATCATTCCCCAACCGCCTGAGTCTAACCTAACTACTACTTACCCGGTGATCCCAGCAGACGCCAGCAATATTTCTAAGACATCTGTGGTCAAATACAAGTGATTTACGAGTATCTTCTACTCTTAATGGCCACGTTTCGCAGCCGTAAAGTAGAACATAACGAACTGCTACGCAGTATACTCGTCCGTTAATTGATAGACGGATATCTCGTCTTCGCCATAGTTGACTTAAGTTGACAAAAGCCAAACGAGCTTTTCGAATCCGTGCTGAGATTTCGTCAGGCACCAACTCATTAGGGCTGATCAAACTTCCAAGATACGTGAAGTTGTCGTCGCGTTCGACTACTTCACTCCCTATCCTTAGTTCATGGTGTTGACGCAGGCCAATCCTGAGGCAATAACTTTCATTTAGAGGTGGAAAAACGGATACCAAACGTCCTGGCATTGTTGCTCAGTGCTACCAAAAGACTGCATTTTATCAGCGTCTTCACCAAACAGGACTATATCATCTGCATATTCTAAGTCGATAAGTTGACCTCCTGGTAGGAGATTAATGCCCGATAATTCAGTCAATGAGAGCATTATTTCCACCAGTAGATCTTTGATTAAGTTAAACAAAAATGGAGAAAGTGGACAGCCTTGACGGAAACCACTTGAGGTTGCAAAATCAGATGACAGTTCGCCATAAACTCTAACTCAACTGGCGGTGTTCGAGTAGATAGCTTCCACAAGATTTATGTACTTCTGAGATACGCCTTTCAATGAGAGACTGCCACAGAACCTCTCGGTCTACGGAGTCAAATTCTGCTTTTATGCGTCATACGACTGCTAAGCCTGTATCCTTGGCCCAGTCAGTCAGTCAGTAACAACGTAGAACTTCGTACGTACGTACATCAGTCCGAGTTGCCACACCACATTAGCATAGAGATTTATTTATTTATTTATTTGAACACATAAATATTGGTACAAGAGAGCGCCAATATATATGCGCCACACAAAACAATGAGAATTCGAAGAGAAGTAGAAAGAGAAAAAAAAAACTAAGGAACGCAAAAGAAAAAGAGAACAATGACGAAGAGATTGGAGTAAGGTAGTGTGGTAGTAACGACGGAACGAAAAGGTACAATCAGAAGAAATCTTTCAGGTAAGGGAGACACAACCACTTTTTATGAAGAAAGTAAAAGAAGGTTACAGCAGGATCGCCACTGGCTTCTATTCTGAGCCATATCTGATAACGTCTCTAGCCACTGTGTAGCACCATCTCTCGGACCCCAACCAGGGAGTCGTGAAGGACCAACACAAGCCAGTCCTTTGCAGCTTTCTTTCATGCCACGACACCATGTCATGCACTGACCACCTCTCCGCTTCTTCCAACCAGTCCCAGAGTCGGCAAATAATGCACGACGTGGAATTCTCTGGGACGACATTCGGAGAACATGTCCAAGCCACCGAAGTCGGTGTTTCAAGATGGTGACACCAATTGAGTTATCATCTCTGTGCCCGAACACACGATGCCGAACCTCTGCATTACTGACATGGTGTTGCCACTGAATGTCAGCAATCCTTCGGAGACAGCGATGATCGAACACAGAGAGTCGTCTAACGTCCTCAACTCGGAGAGGCCAGGTTTCACAAGCATAGAGCAAAACTGCTCTCACCGACGCGTTGTAGATCCGACCTTTTACAGCCAGACTAACATCACGAAGGCGCCAAAGGTGGCCCAGATTGGCATAAGCCGCTCTGGCTTTCACTATTCGTGCATTGATCTCATCACTCACACCCCCACCAGCACTTATGCAGCTACCCAGATACACGAACTTCTCAACTACGTCTATCTGCTCACCGTCCAGGGTGAGTACAGGATTAGAATCCTGCCAGTCTTGTAGAAGTACTTTGCACTTCGAAGGTGCAAAGCACATACCATACCTACGGACACTGATTGCCAACTGATTAAGTGCGGATTGCATGCCTTGGGCATTATCGCACAGTAAGACAATATCGTCCGCATACTCAAGGTCGAGAAGTCTTTCTCCAGGCAACAGATCCACACCACCATTACTTACATTCATCAGAGCTGTTTCCAGAATGTCATCGATGGCAAAGTTGAAGAGGAATGGTGAGATTGGGCAACCCTGCCTAACCCCACTGCTCGAATGGAACAATGGAGAGAGGTGGTTGTATGCCCTCACTCTGCCTGAGGTGTTTTTATATAGGGCTTTTAGGATGTTAATAAACTTCTCAGGCACACCCTTCTTCAATAGACAATCCCAGAGAACAGTCCTGTCCAACGAATCGAAGGCAGCCCTGATGTCAAGAAACACTACGATTGTTGGCCTTTGAAAAGTATGGCGGTGTTCTAACATTTGGCGGAGGGTGAAGATATGATCAATACATCCTCGACCAGAACGAAACCCAGCCTGCTCCTCGCGAGTCAATCTTTCTCGGGTTTTGAACAACCTACGAAGAATGACGGAAGCCAATAGCTTGGACGCAATCGGAAGTAAACTTATCCCCCGATAGTTGTTACAAGAACGACGTGAACCCTTTTTAAAGATAGGGACAACTATCGACTCATTCCATGACGTTGGTACACTCTCTAGTTCCCAAACCTTTGTAAACAACGTCGTCAATTCCTTAGTCAAAAAGTCACCACCATCTTTAAAAAGAGCCGGAGGTAAGTCATCTGGGCCAGGTGATTTGTAACGCTTCAAGAGTTGGAGTTCCTTGCGGACTTCCTCCTCATTTGGTGGATCAGTCGTCACCGGCCATGGAGGGCAGGACAGTCTGACCGATGTTGCCGGAGCAGCAGGCCAGTTGAACTGCCCTTCGAAAAATTCTGCCCATCGTCCAAGACGTCGATGGATGTTAGTGATTGGCATCCCATCATCCTCGCAGATTGTTTCACTCACACCAGACTTCTTGCTGCCAGTGGCTCGGATGAGCTGGAAGAGCTTCCGGTAGTTACCAGATGCAGCTGCTGCTTCCAGCTCATTAGCACGCATCGACCACCAGGCTTCTCGGTCCTTACGCAAGCTTTGCCCAATTTCCTTACGTAACATCCTTCGTTTATGGTCAAACTCACGGTCACCCGGAGTAGACCGACGGGCTTCAATGAGTTGTAAGGAACCAGAAGAAACCCAGTGCTTAAAAGCGGGACGTTTCGCAAACCCACAACTGACTGTTCCCGCCATTTTCATGGCGTCATGCAATTGCAACCAATGCTCATCTATACTTTTCGGTGGAGTGGTAGCTAGCCTAGAGGCTAGCTCGGTTCGATACTTACTTGCAACAGAAGTTGCAACCAGCTTGCTAACATCAATCCGTTGATGGCGTTCACTTCGTTGTCCACTGAAAAGTAAGGCAAGATTGGCGCAGACCAAGGCATGGTCAGAGTCCAGATAGGTACTCCAAAAGGAGCGGCAGTCTTTTACACAACCACGCCAGCGGTAGCTGATCGCGATGTGATCAATCTGAGTCCAGGCTTGAGATGCAGAGGGAGGACGCCAGGTGGCACATCGGCGATGACTGTGCCGAAAGTTAGTGCTAGCCAGAAACAGGTTGTGGTCTGTGCAAAGTTGCAGTAGACGGTCCCCGTTATCTGACCTGCGACCAACGAGTCCCCATCGGCCACCTAAACGACTCTCTTCTGTGCCTAGACGCCCGACCTGAGCATTCAAGTCTCCGGCTAGTACTACAATATCTGTCGAACGCACTTTCTGGAGAAGAACTGATAACTGGTGGTAAAACTCATCCTTGATTGCATCCGGGCTGCAATCTGTCGGGGCATAGGCGGAGATGACGAAAAGACATCGTTTCTCACGCCGATTTCTTCTCACTTTGATGGAACTTTCTAATCTAACAGCACATAACCGACTGTTAATGGGGATCCAATCGACTAGTGCTGCCTCAGCTCTAGCGCTTAGTGCGACACCAACGCCAGCAAGACCAGACGAAGATGCCACAGGGTCCCCGGATAAGCGCACGTAAAACAAGCTTTTCGAAGCGACAGATGGAGATCGAATTTGTAGTACTTCGCCAGAGTCTTGAATACGGGTCTCGGATAGACAACACACGTCGATATTAAGACTTTCCAAAGACATAGCCAGCCCTATCTGTTGTCCGACCTGCATAAATGTGCGAACGTTGAAGGCAGCCAGTTTGAATGGTGCACGTGGTTTCAGAAAATCTGCTTCAGTCCTCGTATTCGGTGGTAACATACAATTTTCAACCGGACAGTGACTCGAGAACGTTTAGATACAGTCGGATTTCCACCAAAGACGAGCCGCTGTATAAGTATAAAAGAGGGTGAATAATGTGGAAAATAATAATAATAATGATAATAATAACAATAATGACAATAATAGTAGTAATAATAATATTAGTA